CTCTCAGCAATTTCTCTCCATCGACCACCACCACTCTCTTTCTCCCTCTGTAGCGAAAACCTAAGCAGCACTCTCTCTGCAGTCAATGTTAGGGTTTGTTGAGGGGGTTCTTGAAGGTGAAAGAGAGGGTTTCTTCGTTAAATGCTCTCTCCCTTCAACAATCTCTCAGTTCCCTCTCTTTTCATGTCTTCAATCGACTTCTTTCTCTTCTCCTCTGCTCCTTCAGGACCTCAAAAAACCCTAATTCTTGGTTTCGGTTCCGACTTTTTCACATACTTCTCAAATATTGCAGTTCTTGTTCATTAAATTTGGTCTTAGGTATGATTTATAACTGTCCATCCATTGTATTTTTTCAGTTTGATTTTTATCAGTGTATTCGAATTTTGTAGAGAAATGCACTATACTACAGAGGTATTGGGCATGCATTTCATACAATTTGCAGAGAAGAAGGTTTTTTGGGATTGTATAAAGGACTTGGATCGACCCTGTTGGTATGCTTTATTATGAACCTGCACATTCTTCGTTGCTTTATTTTGTTAACACTAATTTCCATTTGGTTTATTCCTGTGGCACAGGGTGTTGGGCCCAGTATAGCAATAAGCTTCTCAGTTTATGAGGCTTTGAGGTCTTTTTGGCAGTCTGAAAGGTGAATACTGCATAATTGGTTGATTTGGGGCTGAATTTTTTAAAGTGATGTTTATTGTCCCTCTATTCGTTTGAGTTGTAATATTGTAGTTTTCAATTCTTCTGATATCAGGCCCAATGATTCGACTATAATGGTCAGTCTTGCCTGCGGCAGTCTTTCAAGCATTACCTCATCAACAGGTAAGTGATCTGTGACATTTGGTGCTAGTTTGGACCATCAAAAGATGGATCGCTATAACAGAAAATTGTGACATGATGCATAGTGGAGGATTTATTTTCACAAGGAAAAATACTTTACAAATTAACAAAAACTTATATACAAATTAAATCTTGTATAGTTTTCAGACACAGATAGATGGCAAACTATGTTAGGACTTCCAATTGATTTGTTTAGGATCTAGCAAGAAGAATTTCAACAGATTTATTGTTCTTCTATGTGATTATCTTTTGGTCTATTTGTTATTTCAGCAACATTCCTTCTGGATCTTGTGAGGCGAAGGATACAGTTGGAGGGGGCTGGTGGTCGAGTTCGCATCAATAATACAGGCTTAGTTGGGACTTTTAAGCACATAATCCGGACTGAAGGCCTACGGGGCTTGTATAGAGGGATTCTGCCAGAATATTACAAGGTTGTCCCCAGTGTAGGCATTGTCTTCATGACTTACGAGACACTAAAAATGCTTTTGTCGCGCATCCAAGCAAGTGATTCATGCTTTTCTTTAGGTGTTTCTGGGATTTCCAATTCGGTTATGTGCGCCAAACGAGTGATTCTAAGGTGGGTTTTGTATTTGTTATTGACTAGTTTGTCTTTTTGTATGGTTTTCATTTGAGAAGGATAATTTCACTAACCTGTGACTGATTTTGTGAAGTTTAGTAATTAGAGAGATTGGAAATTTCTGTATTTTAACTGTGAATTACTTCATGCTTGGATGAAACTTCTATTGGTCTGATTGATTTTGCTCTATGGATGACGAAGTGCCTCAATTTGCTATTTGCCATCTAGGATTGTCATATGTTCTCCTTTTGTTCAGCTTCTGCAGGAATTGAGAACTCGCAAAGTGCCTAAGGTTTCTTTTGTTTATTCAATACTTTGCATTTACGTGGTTTTAGTAGAATTTCTATTTGCAAATAACAAAATTTATATAGACTGCTGATCTCAGAAAATAGGAAGCTGCCTTCCCTAATGCTTGTTCTTTTTCTGGCTAATCACTTAACTAATATGTTCATTTGAATTTGATTTTATTAGGTTGGCTATCCAACATTGGGTGGATTTGCAAAGTTCGTATCTGAAA